ATATATATATATATATATATATATATATAGATAGATAGATTAGCTTATACAAAATTATATATGCTTAAACAGATATTTGAAATGTTAGTTTTGAGAATATAACTATATTTAATATTCATAAGAGATAACTTTATTTATAGTAGTTTAAGGTAGTGTTTTAAAAATCGGATCGAACTGACCGGTCAGACTGGTTAAATTGGGAACCAGTGGTCCAGCCGGTCTGAATCTTAAGTTGGATCGGTTATGCATTTGACCTGTTTCAAACAGGATTGAATCGGTCAATTTTCCGGTCCGACCAGTGAACCGGTGGGTCAAACCGGTTCAACCATAAATTTTTTTTTTTAAGGGATCACAAACCACAAAAATAACAATGAGAATTAAATCTTTTAATGGTAGAACAAATAGTCTTATTAAACATAACAATGACTACTTGTTCTAATGTATATGCAACTTAAATAACTTTTATAACATATTATTAATTTTAAATTATATATTTAATAATATAATATCTATGTAGATATTACATATTTATTTTGTGATATCAATTGCAAACATATTATATATATACATATTATTTATATTTTTAATTTGTATTAGTATACAGTTTAACATGTAATTTTTTTATACAAAATAAAAATATAGATAATTTTAAATAAGATGAAAATTGAAATTTAAAATAGGATATGAATTTATTAAAATTTATAAGTATAAAATATATTTAACATGAATATTTTTTTTTAAATTAATAAAAAACCGAGTCATGCAGTTCAATTAGTGACCCACCGATTCAACCTTTGACCCACTAACTCAGTACCCTAACCGGTTCAATGACCGGTCCGATTTTTAATTAAAACTATGATTTAAGGTTTAAGGTTTAGGGTTCTATACACATCCTTAAATAGACCTTAATTTTGGGATCTATTTAAAACATCAACATTTTCTAGCAAATATTTTTTATATACATGTACTTGAAGATTAACCTCCCAACTACTTACTTAATAGAAAAGTTTTGTTGAATGTTCAAAAAAATTTCAAAGAGTTTTTTTTAATAATATTCCTTCTGAACCCATATATAAAAAAAAAAAGTATCTAAAAATTTTAAACTTTAAAATAAATAAATTTTAACTAACTTGATCCTATTTAATGTTATCATTTCAAAAATATTCCTTATATCAAATTTAATTACTATTTCCAATAAATATTATTAAGGGTACGTTAGGAAGTAAATTTTAGTTTTTATATGAAATCAATCAAATTAAATAATTTTAACTAAAATTTTTAATATGTGTAAATTTAGGTATATTTACTTATACATTAGTTCAGAGGGAGTATGTGTTAATTAATTTTTATAAAATATTTTTTGTTTCATAAATATTATATGCATGATGTTTTAAAGTTGACAATCATGGATTAATTCGCATTCTTATGATCTATTTTTTGCTAGTTAAATATTATTCCCTTAATGGTTACACTCCGTAAACACAAATTAATTATTAGTGAACCATACTTAAGAAATAAAGAGGATATTACACATGAGAAATGTTAGCAATACTATCTTCAACATTTTTTTTATTATTTGTTGAAAAACATAGTTTTTAACAAGTCTTATCGTAATCCAGGAGAGAAACTTTATACAATAATGAAGTTGCAAGACTAAAAAAATGACAAATATTAGACACCATTTTTTAGAAACAATTAATATTATTCTCTAATAAAAATTAGATATTTACTTTTATAATGTACATAAATATATGTTAATAAATTTTATATTAAATATAAATATATATTACTAAAATGAATCTTCAATTTTTTAAAAAAATTGATTTAATAATAAAAAAACCGTATTAAAGAAAAAAGTGTTAAAGGAGATAATGGCAAACATTTCAACGTTATAAATAATGGTTGATTGAAATAAATAAAGAAGACAAATGTGAAACTGTGAAAAACTTAAATTCTTGCATCTAATTTGACAGCACACTGAAGCTTTTACTAGGAGAGAGAGAAAAGGGAAACACGCTTCAATTGTGATTTTAATATAATTGGGTTCATATTTCAGCGTGACAAACTTTAATTAGAGTGCAGTCTGAAAATGGTCAAATAAATACACTAGTAGTACGTAGTAGTAATAATAAACAATGCTGCAATAAATTACAATAAAAAAAAATGGTCTAAATTGATTGAATCTACAAATTCTGAACTAGGTTGAAATGTTGAATGCAATTAGGTTAGAGAATGATAGATAGGTTTTATTTATTAATGCAGACATAATTAGCTTCCACCCGTTTCATTAAAACCATAAAAAGTAGTATTTTGTACGAAAAATGGTACTCTAAAACTTTAATTTTGCAATACAAAAAAACATATTTATAATCGTATATGGCAACAGATATTAAAAAAAGGGTGAAACGCATGCGTTTGATTAAGGGTGAAAGCAGGCATGATTAATAATTAATCAACTTACGAGGCGCAAGAATTAGTAATTAAGATTTAAGGATGATGGATGATGGATGATGGATGCGTTTGAGTTGACTGGCAGCAGCATAGCAAATAGCAATAAATAAGGGTCTTGAAATTTGAATATAATAATAATAATAATAATGAGAAAATAAAAGTACTTGTAGTTCCAATTTCTATCTTTCTTTTCTTTTCTCTCTCTTCTTCTCCCTCGCTTCTGCCTCTGCAACTCAAAACAAAACCCTAACGCTGTCTTCCATCGGAAAATGTACAAGAACCAGCTTCAGGAGCTGGCCCAGCGAAGCTGCTTCAACCTCCCTTCCTACACCTGCATTCGGGAAGGCCCCGATCACGCCCCCCGCTTCAAGGCCACCGTCAACTTCAACGGCGAGATCTTCGAGAGCCCCCACTACTGCTCCACTCTCCGCCAGGCCGAGCACTCCGCCGCCGAGGTCGCCCTCAATTCCCTCTCCCACCGCGCCCCCTCTCACTCCCTCGCCGCCAGGATCCTCGTAAGCAGATCCTCACATTTCTTTCTCTCTCTCTCTTCACGTTACTGTCTATTCATTCCTGCTAATTCTATTATTGCTGATGTTGGGTTCTTGTGTGCAAATTTTCAGGATGAAACGGGGGTTTACAAGAACCTCTTGCAGGAAATTGCTCAGAGGGTGGGGGCTCCGTTGCCGCACTACTTTACATTCAGGTCAGGCTTAGGACATCTTCCTGTTTTTACTGGGACGGTAGAGTTGGCTGGAATCATGTTTACTGGTGAACCTGCCAAGAATAAGAAACAAGCAGAGAAAAATGCTGCCATGGCGGCTTGGTCTTCTTTGAAGCAATGTAAGTGCCTCCCTGCCTTTTCTCTCCATGCTTTTATTTCATGTAAAGGGATATCCAGCTTTGCTTCAGTTTGTCTTGTCAATATTGCTTCAAAATACCACAAACTGAAACTAGATCACTGCCGATTCCCTGTTTCTTCCGAAAATTCGCCTGTAGTGCCCGCTTATCCGGGGTAAAGGCCAAGATCATGTTCAATGCATTTATAGATCCTTTTTCCGTGTGACTTTCTTTCAGATGACCTAGTGTTATGTGCCACATAGTTTTACCTGCATATGTGACGCTATAATCTTCCTTTTGCCGATTTCTTTTTGTCCAATTGAGTTTTAACTTTTTAGTGAACTACTTAATAGAAGCAAATCGCCCTGCTATAGTGCCAATGCAGGGCAGGGACTCCCATGGCTGCTTACAATTGTTCTCTTCTGTCTTTCTATCACTTTGTGCTTGTACATTAGGCAGAGTGTAGTTGATATTACGGCCTTCTCCCACGTTTGGTTCAGCTTAAATATGGGAGATAATAGCCTATTTTCAAAAATTCTCTCTGCAAGTTGATCAAAATCTGTGATTAGATTTCCAAATTAAGCTGAACCAAAAATGCATGAAATCTATAAAAAAGGCCCCACCTATTAACACTTCAGTTTTCTCTCTGTTGGTTTTGCAACTATATTCCAGAAACTCAATCATTTTCCAATCAAACCTGCCCTTTTGTTATCAGGTCTTTGCCCTGTCACCACTCACCATTGTTTCCCACAACTTTCTAGATATAGTATTTAACCATTTATTTTCTAGTTGATTATACTTGTTACTTAATTGAGTATTTTTTTTTTCTTCATTTGGGTGCCTAGACAGGCCAACAATCAAACTTGTTACACAATTGTAGATCCCCACACTGTTCTAGTTCCACCAACGCCTACTTCCTGCGTTGCTGCATTTGATCATGACTTGTTTATTGTGTTTTAGGGTGTGTGTGATTGTGCACCTAGCAAGAACTTCCACTAATTAATTACAAATATGTCTTCAATTTTGGTAGTTTTTTGTTGTTGAGTATTCATATACATGTACTATATAAGTTATTTATCTTGTATCCATAATGTTCAAGTATACTGGTCATTTTCAAGTGTCTGGGATTGACTGCTACGTTCTATGTTATCCATGATTGGCAACTATGGTCTTAAGTATGTATAAAAATGATCAACTATGAATTAACTAATGTTTTCTTTCTTGGCAGTGGCAAAAGAAACTGCCAAGTCTTCAACTGAGCCAGAGAACAATGACGAACTAGAACAAATCACTATAGCACGGGCCTTACTGAACTACCGACTGAAGGAAAAGATTTCAATGTCAAATCCAAATGCTCCAATTCCATTTCCAAAGATGTTTCAGATTCAGAATCCCAGGCCAACCAGTCCTCAGCCTCCACCTGCCGCCACATCAAAGATTCTTCCCTTAATTTGCCAAAAGGCAGCTCCTCGTAACAGGCATCTAGTTGCAGCATCTCCAGCACCAGCTGTGAGTGACAATTCTGCAATGCCGCAACTTTCTGCTACACCAGATAGCCGAGGAATTCGTCGCCCCAAGTTCCCTGCTGCCGGAGCAGCTCCTTATGTTCCCATTAGACAAATGAGACCACCTTGCCATGGGATGGCACCACCGGTAACGATTCGGACTGCAATACCTGTATTCTCCCCACCACCACCACCAGCAGCAGCCACTGCAGCTGCAGTGTCCCATCAAGTACTACGAGCTCCTTCTGTACGAGTTGCTCCTCCAGTCACTATCCGGCAAGCTGTTCCAGTATTTGCTGCTCCACCAGTTAGAAAAGATGAACCTATTCCCATTATAAAAGACGCTCCAGTATTTGCTGCTCCGCCCATTAGAAAAGATGAACCTGTTCCCGTCCTAAAAGACGTTCCAGTATTTGCTGCTCCACAGGTTAGAAAAGATGAAGCTGTTCCCATCCTAAAAGACGTACCAGTGTTTGCTGCTCCACCGGTTAGAACGGACGAACCTGTTCGCTCCCCAAAAGACGATCCACCAACAATTAGTGCCCCTAGCCTGGAAGACAAATTGCCAGCCCAAACTCCGGAGACAGAAACCAAGACTGGGACTATTTCACCTGAATCTGAGATGGTGCCGAGCATGGAGCAGCTGAAAATTTGATGTTTATTTTGAGTAGAGGTCTGATATCTGAATCCATGGAAATGTGGTCATGGTTTTATGATGATGTGGAGTTTGCTTCTCATGTTATAATGAGTGATGTAATATCATCCCTTCCTTTTGCCCTGTTAAAATGAGACAGTTGGTGCGGGTTAGCAGCATCAACAGTCCAAATATCTGTGAAATGAGCGGTTTACCATATAATTTGCCTTTTTTTTTTTAATTTTATATATGTTAGTTATATATTTATGGTATTATACATATTCATCTTCCATTCCCTTTATTTCAGCAGGCAATTGGATCTCTGGTTGTTTTTTGGGTCACCATTTGTTATTTGTTTGTTTTGTCGAAATGAAAAGATGGACACCGCCCCCTTGCCGGTTTGTTCGTTTACGAAGAAGTTTCATTCAGTGCTATTAAGCCTCAGTGATGAAATGGGTTAGACGCAACCAATCTATATACTTTTAAGTCACTGTGCTTGGTAAAACATTGGAGCATAATCAGATTTTCCACCAAGTTCAAACTTTTAAAAATTTACCAAAAAAATGCAGTTCAGTGTTTTTTGATTGGTTGATGATAAATCATAAATATAATAATAGATTTATGTCAAGCTATTCAATTGAATAGTTAGTTTATACAGAAAATTTGACGCAACTTAAGCACGACTTGGGTATGTCACTATGCACTAAACAAGAATGATCATTTGTTTAAAGAAATGAATAATAATAGGTAAGGTTAAAAAGTAAATATAAATTATTCTACCAAATAGTCTGTTATTTCCAACTTTTAATTTTGATTATATGGCAATTATACAATTTAGATTTACTGTTTTACATTTTTAAAATAAAAAATGCTTTCAAAATTTGTCTCTTATATGAGTGTAAGTGTGTCCTAAAAAGAAATATGGGTGCATATGTATGTGGCTTAATTATATCATATCTTCATTACCAGTTTTTAAGTGTATCCCCTAATTTTAACTACTCTCATTTTATGTCCATAACTTTTCAATTGATAAATCAAGTCTTTCACCCAAATATTTCATTCAATCAATATTAGGGATATTTATGGATTGAGTTGCCAATGAAAACTTGCTAAATTAGTTTAGATTGGTTCGATTAATTTATTTATTATTTCAAGTTTAAATCAAATTAATTATAACATGATTGATTTCTACTTTATTATTTTTCAACTTGAATAAACCCAATCACTTGATCTATTATTTTCCAACTTTTAGACTCTGGTATTTTTATTTTATTTTTATCTTTTCTGTCTTTGTCATTCATTTTGACTCTTTTATAATTTTATTGAGTGGTATCAAGCATCTTCATTTGATTATTTAATATGTAAATACTTTTTATGACATTTTTTTAAGAGAAAAATAGAATTTTTATTAAATCATACTTAGTGGAATATAAGACATGTCCATATAGAATATCAAAAATAGTATACAAAGATTGTGTAGTAAAATAAATCAAATGCTTTGAAATATACCTAAATGAGTTGTTTTTTTTTTTTTTTAAATAAATAACCAAAAAAATTTATGAATTTATACTTATTATAAAAGTAATAAATTTTCACGATCACTCTTCTAGTTTTCACCTTTTTATTAGATACTATTACATTTTAATATAAAAAAAATCAAAATTCTGTCAAAAATAAATATATAGTGACATAAAATGCCTCTTTTTCTTACTTTTAAGTCACTGTGCTTGGTAAAACATTGGAGCATAATCAGATTTTCCACCAAGTTCAAACTTTTAAAATTTTTACCAAAAAAATGCAGTTCAGTGGTTTTTGATTGGTTGATGATAAATCATAAATATAATAAGAGTTAATCACCTATACATTGTCGGTATAAAGTTTTTTTACACTGACAATCAATTATATCTTTTAATTGTATCATGTCACTATAAATATATTTACTTTTAACAGTGACATGACACAATTAAAAGATATAATTGATTGTCAGTGTAAAAAAACTTTACACTAACTATAAGTGATTAACTCATATAATAATATATATTTATGTCAAGCTATTCAATTGAATAGTTAGATACTATTACATTTTAATAATTTTTTTTCAAAATTCCGTCAAAAATAAATATATAGTGACATAAAATGTCTCTTTTTCTTACTTATTGATACACAATAAAATATTTATTTATATTTAACTTTTGAATTTTTTAATGTGATGAAAATTCTTTCAAATCCTCCGTTTTTGAGGAAACAACATTTTTCTCAAAATATAATTGAAATGTTATCCATCATTGATTTGTTCAGTTTAACATACTATTATATAATAATTAAATTAAAATAAAAAATTCTTGAAAACATTAAAACAAGAATAAAAATAACTCTTGTTGCATCTATCATTAGAATTGATCCAATATATTGTTAAGCCTAAACAAATCTTAGAGTAAAATTTTTAAAAAATTAATAATAATATCTTTTCTGTCTTTTTCATTCATTTTGGCTCTTTTATAATTTTATTGAGTGTTATCAAGCATCTTCTTTTGATTATTTAATATGTAATTACTTTTTATGACATTTTTTTAGGAGAAAAATAGAATTTTTATTAAATCATACTTAGTGGAATATAAGATATGCCCATATAGAATGTCAAAAATAGTATACAAAGATTGTGTAGTAAAATAAATAAATCAAATGCTTTGAAATATATTAAACGAGTTGTTTTGTTTTTTTTTTTTTTGTGAAAGAAATAACTAAAATTTTCTATGAATTTATACTTATTATAAAAGTAATAAATTTTCACGATCACTTTTTTAGTTTTTACTTTCTTATTAGACACTATAGCATTTTAAGAATTATTTTCTCTCAAAATTCCCTAAAAAATAAATACATAGTGACATAAAATGTCTCTTTTTCTTACTAATTGATACACAATAAAATATTTATATATATTTAACTTTTGAATTTTTTAATGTGATGAAAATTCTTTCAAATCCTCAGTTTTAGAGGAAACAAAATTTTTCTCAAAATACAATTGAGATGCTATCCATCATTGATTTGTTCAATTTAACACACTATTATATAATAATTAAATTAAAATAAAATAATCATGAAAACATTAAAAAAAAAAACAAAAATGACTCTTGTTGCATCAATCATTAGAATTGACCCAATATATTATTAAGCCTAAACAAATCTTAGAGTAAAATTTTTAAAAAATTAATAATAATATCTTTTGATAAAAACAAAAATATTTTAGAGATAAATCTTCAAAAAATAATTATATTTATATATTTTATAAAGATAAACTTTTTAGAATGAACTTTTAAAAATACCAAAACAAAAATGACTTTTAAATTATAGACATTAAACAAAATTATATAAACCACAATGTAGTTGTTTTTTTTTTGAAGGAACCTAAAACAAGAATTTTGTTCACCTTACGCTTTTATCGACCCTAGTTGCATCTTATACATTTTATTTTTATTTAAGTTTCTTTTTCACATTTTTATACTATGTCATACCTATGCTATATTTTTGGACTTTGAGACGAGGATTTTAATTCGAACAACTGAGTGACTAAGATGATTAAATACGAACAATTAAATTTTTTTGCATTGTTTTCAGGGTTTTTCTTAAACTTTAAAGTTTTTAGGCGTTGTTATCATTATCATATTTTTAATTTATTCTATTGTTCATATTTTTTAATTTGTCTTTTTAATTTTTATTAAAATTTAATTTTAATATTTTATAAGAAATTATCAAATACTTAAAAATAATTTAAATTATTTAGCATAAATTTAAATATAATTTATACGCCCAAAATTTTTATTTATTATGAATTTTTAATTATTTTAATTTGTATTCCTTTTTTACGGTTAAACTTGACCAAAATTTTAATTGCAAAACATATTTTGACCCATTTACTGGTAACGACTCTTTTTCTAAACTTAATGCGTTTTAAAGTTTGACCAAATCTAAATAATTGTTTATTAAGGTTTATAAATAAATCAATAATCTTAGTAGCCCAAATAAGCTAAAAGTCCTATTTGTAAAAATAAACAAATAAGTCAATGAACATATGAAGATTTAATAAATATATCATAGGCATGTGTGAGATAGTGATTTACGTACTATTTTCTCTCTAATCTCCTAATAATGTCTATCATTTTTTTATATTTTAGATTTGACTATTAGTTTTCCTTTTTCCATCACATGACTTCAAAAGTTACTTCGTGTGAGGGTCGTGACATCAGCTTGACCGGTAGTTCAATTCAAAACCTAATAGTTAGATAGGTTTTTTCACGTTGAAATTATTCAAAAACATAATAATATACATTTTACTATATATTTCACAATTTGGGATGGAAGAAGATAGAAATAGTAATAAATAAAAAATAGAAGAAAAAAAATCGCATTTTGAAATAGAAGAAGTGAGAAATAATAACAAAAATATATAAATAAAAAATAAGAAAACAGGTGCGCACACAGACATATTATATGTATATATATATATATATAGACATATATATATATAGAGGAGAGATCCTTTTACTCCAGGAGTAAGTCTATATAGATTTACTCCGCTCAATAACTAATGTTTTACATCAAATTTTAACGATCCAACCGTTCAATTTAAATTCTTAATGCATAGATTAAACTTGCAAATTTTTATAAAATTTGAAAATCATTTGATACTTCATTTCATTAATTCGAATCTATGTTTAAAATGATTTTATGATTATCCGTCAATTTGAATTAATGAAATGAAGTATCAAATATTTTTAAATTTTATAAAAATTTGCAAATTTGATCTATGCATTAAGAACTTTAAATTAAACAGTTGGATTATTGAAATTTGATGTAAAACATGAGTTATTGAACAGAGTAAGTTTAGGTAGACTTACTATTAGAGCAAAATAATCCCTCCTCATATATATATATATATATATATAATTATTTAAAATAAATTTAGTTTGATTTTAATGTCTCTTAATTTTAAGTTATACTACTATTATTACAGGAGAAAAAAAGACATTTCGTTTATCTATTTAAAAGAAAATAAAACAATGAATAATTATTTAGAAGATGAAAAATCAAGAATTGATAAATGTAATGATAAAGTAAGGAGTGAGAATAAATAAATAAAACAAAAAATAACTTAAAAATAATTATAAGAGTAAATTAATCCTAAATTTATATACACCATAAAAGATATTCCTTTAATAATAATAATAATAATAATAATATTAAATTATTATTATTATCTTAAAAAATACTTAAATTATTTTTATTAAAATTTATAGGATGGAT